CAAAGAAAGTGGTTTGCTGAGATGAAATCTACTCCTGGTGCAGATGCTGTGAACATTGTTGAAGTGACAGCACAAGATTTATATTACATCAAATTAGTTGATAAAGCAGTGGCAAGGTTTGAAAGGAGTAACTCCAATTTTGAAAGCAGTTCTATTGTGGGTAAAATGCTATCAGACACATACTGCAAAGAAATATTTTGTGAAAGGAAAAATCAATTGTGCAACAAACTTCACTGTTGTCTTATTTTAAGAAATTGCTACAGCAATCCCAACCTTCAGCAACCACCACCCCGATCAATCAGCAGCCATCAATTTTGAGGCAAGAGCATCTACCAACAACAAGATTATGACTTTCTGAAGCCTCAGATTATTGTTAGCATTGTTAGAAATAACATATTTTAATTAAGGTATGCATATTGTTTTTTTAGACATCATGCTATTGCACATTAATAGATTATAGTACAGTATAAACATAATTTTTAAATGCACTGGGAAACCAAAACATTTATGTGACTCTTTTTATTGCATTACTCACTTTACTGGAGTGGTCCGGAATGAAACCTGTAATACTTCTGAAGTATGTCTCTCTCTCTCTCCCCCTCTCTCTCTCTCTCTCTCTCTCTCTGTGTGCCACAGGTCCCACACAGGACACAATATGAAAGGGACTTAGTGACATTGTATACCTGCTACTTACTGGCTTATTACTCTTCATAAAATATATAATCATATAATTTAGTTAATATTTATGAGAAAAGTTCAGAAAATAGTAATTTAGTTTCCTTAATAATGCAAATGACCATAATATAAAGTTGCCCAGGCAACTTTTTTTTTTTCCTGAAGATAAAAGTCATCAAACTTTTTGTTTAATAATTCTCCCAGGATAGATTTCCAAGCATGTAAATGAATTGCTTGTACTGTTTGCAAGTACTGAAAGAGAACAGTATTATGGTATGTGTCATTTTCCTTAAAAACAGTAAGAGAGACCACTGTGGGGTTGGGAAGGAAGCATTTTTTTGTGATCTGAGGAAGACTAGTGGAAGAGCAGCTGAGAAAAAAACTCCACAAAAAAATTTTGTCCAGGCTAGAGATTATACACCAACTAAGAAAAATGTTTCAAGTTATTTTGCAGGACAACTTCCCATTCTTATAATCTTAATTTATTGTTTTATAGTATGTTATATTAATTTCATATTATAATATAATTTAATTTTTATTATATTAGTTTATATATACCTATAATTCTTAATTTAAACTATTTTCTGAGTTGGATGGCATATATCTTCCAGTAGATTTTTCAAGAAAGTTTTGTGGGTGACATTTTCTGAGCTCCTGCATATTTAAGTATGTCTGCTTTCATTCATAAAAAATTTATAAACTAACCCTATATAATAATGTGAGGTCATGGCCTTTTCTTCTCAGAAATCAGTAGATATTGTTCTATTGGATTCTGCCATTTAGTTCTACAAAGAAATATAAAGCTAGCCTGATTTTAGCACATAAAGGACAAAACAAAACTGTAGACTCAGTGACTTTTCAGTTTTCTTTCAAACTTTTGCACTATTCTTCCCCAAGAATGTTTAAAATTATTTAGTCATATTCACCTCTCTGACCTGAACATCTAAGATCTCTCTCATCTATTTGATTTTTTTTTTCACCTTTGTTTAGCTTTGGGAAGAGCTTACTATGTTTGTCTTCCACATTACTGATATATTAATAATTTCTAAATGTCAAATCCTTTCTGCTGGATCTGTGGATTTAATTTAACTACTGGATTTTAAATTTTCATTATTTCCTCTATTATCATTTTTGTCTTGGCTTTTTTCCTTTAGGTGGTTATTTTCATATGGATTTCTGATTCTCTTTCATAATAACAATATCTTCTGAAACTCTGCTGAAACAGCTAGTCAATTTTTCTACAATTGTCCTACTTCTCTTTTGAGTCTTCAGGAATTTTTTTTAAATCTCCATTTCTTTATAAAATTTTAGAGATTCATTATTGAATTTTTAAAATAAATTCTAATAATGGGAGTTTATATAGAAAAGGTGTGGAAAACAGCCAAGAGTATACAGCTTAGGTATCACAGCCAATTTTCAGAATCTATCAGGTTTTCATATAGTTTGGTTTTATACGATTAAAATGTGATTTTCTTCTTCAAACAATGCCAGTTCCTAGTTCTGTCTCTGGAAATGAAACTTTGAATTTGGAAGTACTGTTCCTCGGTCTCTATCAAAAATGCCCACCAGCCCCTCCCATGTGATAGCAAATTTTTTGCTATGAATACATAAAGGAAAAAGGAGATACAGGGAAAAACACAAGAACAGAGCAGATGAACAACACTTTGATGTGTTAAGACAACAACAATAATAGTAATGACAGTGGCTATGCCTACAAAAATTCAATAGCTTACTAGTCTGTTTCTCCTAATTTCCTCCTCATTATTTCTAGCTTGGATTTACTATCAACAAATGGATAGAGATAGAGGGACATTAATGGGAGCCGCAGTGGAGGTAGGGGTTGGAGGCAGCACTATGAGGACTCAAAAGTAGCAGATATGCAATAGAAAGCTGCTAATCTTTTGAGATGTCTCAAAACTAATGACAAAAGACAGATTGGAGCACCAGTAGGGATCTTTCTCTTTACTTTCTCTCTCACTAGCTTGTTGTATTTTTTAATGAAATAGCACTAATGGTCCATTAACTAAGATGTTCAATCCCAAAATATTAGCCTAAAATTAATTATGTTAAAATAGTATATTATATAATAATATGGTATTATGTTAATAGATTTCAGTGTTTTATGATTTCATTATTTTTCATTTTCTATGTCTTTTTGGCATTTTATTTTATTTTTTACTTTTTATTGATATATCATGGCCGTACATACTTTTGGGGTACATGTGATATTTTGATACATGTATACAAAGAGTAATGATAAAGTCAGTGAAATTGGGATATCTATCACCTAAAACATTTATCTTTTTTTGTGTTGGGAACATTCTCTTCTAGGTATTTTAAAATATATAGTAAGTTATGATTAACCATAATTAGAAATCTATGATGGCTATATTAGATGTAGCTATTCAGGTGCCATTTATTGGATAAAACTTCATAAATCTGCTTCCTCTGGCAAATTCTCTTCTGTGTTTCTCAGCTGAATGAAGGCGCTAGGCCCTGCCTGGCACCTGTAACTCATGCTGGTCTACTCAGAGTCCTTCCTTATTGCATATAATTCCCGTGAGAACAATCCTTCAGTATGAAACGATCTTTACAAGGCTCTACTAGGATTGGTTCTCGGTGTCCAGTGGTTTAGAATACAACCATGTTAAGGATGATAACTTCAAATATCCAAACTCCATGCTCCTCTACTCTGATATATAATCTTGCTTTATCCTTCCAGGGGCTTTGTTTTCCCCATCGTCTACTCATAGTACTAGCTCTAGGTAGGGATAATAATTGCAAACCCATTTCAGAATACTTTGGCTTGTTAACTCATTGTCGCAGCTGGCTCTTATATAGTCCACTTATATTTGTGGATACGTTACAGCTTCTCTAGGCCTGAGTCAACACCTGTTGTCTGATTTCTATGGTCTCATTATTCTCACTCTACTACTCCTAAATATCCACTTCCCTGTCTCCCTTTCCATCCTTATTTCCCTAGGTCCAGATCATTTTCTTACAATCCAGTTTTATGTCTTATTTCCCCCCAAATTTGGGATCTGATATCTTTTCTTTTTTCTTTTCTCCTCACTTGTATATACAGTGTTTGTGTAGTCATTCTTATTCTAACCAATTTTGTTAATGCCTGCCAGATTTGACCTGCCCTGTCCCTGGTTCCCTGACTGGCATAGTTCAATATGGAATCCTTGGGGGCTTTGGAGTCTACGAAAAAAGAACAACACCATTAAATAACTATGGGTACTAATGTGAGCATACAGCATAAATAAAACTGTCAGACATTTCACATTCTGCTATATATTTTAGCAAATATAAAATGTTAACTATATTAAAGACTGCTCATTTTGTAAGATTTAGGGCCTTAACAGCATTTAGTACAATGTAGTAGTCAGCATTTTCAAAGTCATTAGAGATTTGTCTGAAAGGCAGAGAAACAAATTGTTTGATTAGTCATGGTTCAAAGATATTCTTATCACCGAACCAGCTCTCAAATCCTTTTGCCTTATTATAGCAACTGATTTAATTTTTTGTACAACACTGTCCATTAGCATTGCATATTTTATCAGTCATCTCAAATAGTTTTAGACCAACAAATATCTCAAGTCTTTGCCACAAATGAGAAGCCCAAAGAAGAATCAAACAGGGATTCCTTACAGAGAAACAGTAACCATGAGCAGATGAGGTAAAGACACAAGAATTATTATAAGGTCAAAGATGGTATTGGCCAGTTACCAAGGTGCCCACAAGAAGTATAGCTCAAGCCATAAATGAAAATCATATATGTCATTTTAAATTTTCAAGTAGCCGTATTTAAAAAGTAAAAAACAAAAGCAGGTGAAATTAACTTTAATAATGTATTTTATTTAACCCCAATGTATCCAAAATCTTAACTTTCCATTATTAACTCATCTGCGCGCACGTGTGTGTGTATGTGTGTGTGTGTGTGTGTGTGTGTGTGTGCTAAGAATTCAAGATCCGGTGTGTATCTTACACTTATAGAACATCTTCATTTGGACTAGTGATATTTCAAGTGATCAATAGCCACATAGGCCTAGTGGTCACCACAGTGGACAGCGCAGGTCTAGATTTTTATGTTATAATCATACTTTAAGAAAAAATGTTCTAGAGAAAAAATGAATAATGATAAGGACATGAGGCAAGGCATATGTTAACTAACTCAATTTAGCCATTTCACAATGTATACGTATTTCAAAACAACATGTTGTACATGAGATGGATATAATTTTTTATGTGTCAATTAAATTTTTTTTAAATGACATAAAAATAAACAACGTGAGACACAACAATAAATTATTTTCTCTTACCTACACAGATCTTCTTTTATGTGAAGGGAAATCAATTCCTTAGGAATATGAAAAGAAAGTATGCTCTCTGACATCTGCTCCCGGATTCGCATCCACTTATTGTCAGATGTGGGAAATCTATATAATTTACACACTGGGTTCTTTAACACTGGAAAGAAAGAAAAAATAAAACGGGAATAGTTAAATTAGAAGCAAATGCACATCAGGTGGAGCTCCATTAACAAACTCATTAATCAACGTAGCATTCTAATTATTTATCTGATCAAAAATTTGGTTTTTTTTAGAATCTATCTATTAGCATATTTGAATTTTTAAGAATTTTATTTTTACATCTTATTTTTTCAGTACCTTCTGGGACAGAAAGCCTTTGTTAAATTAAATATACATATATATATATATATATATATATATATATATACACACATACATTGAACTGCAATTTGTGTGGCTACTGTATTTTTCTAACTTACTACCTATTGATTCTTTGCTCTTCTAAAGTTTTTATAAAGCATATGTATCTATAAATATGGATAAAAATAATCATATATGCATAATGTACTCTAAACAAATATATCTCTGAATTTCTTCTGATCACCTTTAGCCAACTTTACCTACTTAGACAGTAGATGACAAACTGACATGTTATTTCAGACGTTGCAAAAGGTCCTACTACTAAAAATTATTTATTTCTAAAATTTCAGAAAGGTTCATTTTTTGCAGCTTAAGACCTATTAAAATTCATATATTCCATATACTTAAGTGCCACTGAGTAAATAACACATTTTCCTGAATCCACATACTATCAGAGGCAAGGCCAGGAGACTGTGAAGAAACTACATTTTAAGGTGAGTAGGTAGTGATTAGGGGAGAAGTAGTAACAAGGTCATGCAACCAAGTATTTTAAAAGATTCATTGAAAGAATATAGGTCAGATATCAAGATAATACTTAATCCTTGTCTGTGAAGCTCTCACTCACGCCATACTTCCAAGCCACCTATTTCAGGTCAGAATTTTATTTCCATTGCTGCTAGGCAGTGAATGCCTTTGTTACACGAACATACCAAAGTTTAATGGGCAATAAAATATCAAGTCAATCACCAGTCAAAAACCTATGATTAGTTGGCTCCAGTTTACCAATAAGGCTTATTAAAAACAACAGTTGTTAAAGAAGCAGATGTAAGGCTTTAAATAATACTGAGCATGGTAAGTGGGCCAGGTCTTCTTGATGTGCAGGGAAATAAGCCTTTCAAACTTTTAGGGTCTGTAAGGCCACCATATCTCAGTCACTGCTTGAGTAAACATATAATATCTTTCTGAACATTGAAATGAGGACCTATTCATCCATACCTCTTTAATCATCTATTCTCAAAGATAAACTCTGGATATTATCATTATCAAAATTGCTATACCAGAAACTTTGTTTTCAAATGTACCATTCTGCAATCAGCACATTCAAACCTTCCGGTACACTTACATCCCCCCTGCCAAGAAATAGAGCGCCCCCTTTTCAACAGCACCAATGAAAACCAAAAGAAAGTAGACTATTTCCAGTATGTTGACAGAAATAATGTATTTTAAAATCTAGAGTTGTATGCCCCAGAAGATTATTCTTAAATGTAAGCATGATCATTAAGCTTTGTCAATTAGATTATATCACAGATATAGAGTTCATTATATTTATTTTCTTTAATCTGAAATATAAGAACTCAGCCAGTCAATGAAAGAAAATACAAGATTTCATTCATTTAAACAAGCTTTCAAAGATATAAGAATTTTACTACTGCCTCTATTATCATATCTCCATTGTAGGAAACATTTTTGAAGTATATATTGAATTTGGTATACTGTCCACATACCAAATATAGGATCTCATGAATTCTAATATATTTAAAATGATTAGAAATATGAATGCATCATTTTATGGTGAGACAGAACCCCAATCTCTGAAATGTCTAAATTGTTTCTTAGTTACATATATAAATGTTCAATTAGTTGGTTTATCTATACTCAGTATATATGTGCTGCTTTTTAATTTCCATCTTTTTTCTAAGATCATACAGAATCTTTGTATCTCCCAAAGCATGGTTAAAAATGCTTGGATTTTTCTTGCTCTGATACATCAATAATTATATTTTAGAAAAGTTGTATTTTGAATTATGTCACAACATTTATTTCTTCATTTTCTCTGTTGATCCCAAAACAAGTCCTTCAACTTTTGATTTTATTATTTTCATTTTAATGCTCTTCAGTGTGTTCTAAATACAAACCTTTGGTATAATAGTGCAAGCAGAAATCAAGGGTGGTTTGATTAATAAGCTTCAGAATACTCTGCCGATTACCAGGTACACATCATCCAAGGACTCTGTAGAAATGCTACTATTTTTAAAGGACACACTTGAGGCAAATAATTTAAAAATCAGGCAATTTGATCATACAAAGAAAAAATTCCCAATAATGTCTCCTATCTAACTTTTATGTTATTGGTTCTGATTTTTGAGCATCATAGGTCTCCAAACATTAATGTTAAATTGCATATATAATATTATATTTATCGGGATCTCAACGCAGATATAGCAGGATCCACTTTGCAACCCAGTTTGATCTAGCAGCACTGTTTATTGCACACCTATTGTATCTTAAGCAAGAACACTTACTGTGTACCATAAAATACAGCACAATGGAGCATGATTTTAAAAATGGAGAAATATGGTCTGAACTTTACCACGCAAATTTGTCATACTGGTTAGAGAAAAGACAAGATGTTTTCAACTCAAAATTATTGCTGGGCTGATGGTGGGGAGGTTGTGTCATCCTCACATAAAAGAAAGGCATGGTACTCATGTATCAAATATTGAACAATGGATCACAAAATATAAATGCTTTTGCCAATTTTTAAAAAATGCTTTTTTTTTCCCTATAGCAGAGATATACACTCTGCTCACACACACTCCAGCTGTGTAAATGAGCAGATGACTGTGTAAATGACTTTCAATTCTAGCTCTCCAGGGTTGCCAAGTGTTTATTCAGGTAGGAGATGCTTTTCTGACCATACAATAGACTTATCCCAATAACAATACCTATGTAACACCCATAATAAGTTCCTTTAAAAGAAAGCCCTGTGTGTATTCACACGCTCATTTTTTCACTGCTTTTGACAAAACAATTGCTAAAAAAAATCATGTGACAAATTCTACCAAGAGAAAAGTAGCTGAAATATTTTGGACCACAACGTGGTATTGGGATTACTTAATAAGGATGAAGTTCTAAACTCATCCAGATCTTGATTGATACATTCCCCTTGAGGTTCACCCCCCCTGAGAAGAACACAAGGAAAGAAAGTAAAAGACAGACTTTTTTTCCCTTTGAAATTGTAGCACAACTCAAATTTCTATATTGTTTCTCCCAGACTCTGTAACAGAGACATTTAAGAAGGTAGCGTGCCACCTGCTTTTCATGGGATTCAGCAATTGTGAAAGCCAAGCTGCTGGGATTCTGAATTATCCAAAGTAAGGATGCCAAGGAAATGTTCAACAAAGCCAACACAGATAAAATATAAAAAAGACTGCTGTTTAAGCAACCTGGGGCAGAAAAGATAAAACAGAGAGATACCATAGCGATGGTTTTCTCTTTTATGTTTCTGTAAACAAAGGTGTGCTAAGGATATCAGTGGGTTGATTGGACGAGAAATTTTGGAAATACAGATTCAGAGTCCAGGGGATAATCAAAAAGCTCAGGCAGCTTATTTTATATATTTCTTCAGAGGAAGCTAATCCGTGATTATCTTCACACACTTTCTTGTTTTCAAAATGTGGTAGAAGTTACATATTTAAAGAAATCTGACTTCACTGGCTTCAGGCCTTACAAAATCATTATTTTAATATGCTGCAGATTATTGTAGAGTATCCATTCATTCTGTAGTTTTCATTATGAAGTCATTTAATTGTTTAATTATTCAACTGAATGTACCTATATTGCCTGTTCTTCCAATGCTACAGTATATTTACTAAGAATAAGTCTTTGTAATCCAATAAGATACTGACATACCCTCATTTGTATTTGAAAATATCTTAGATTTATACACATAATAAATGTAAATTAGCTCTTTTAAGGCTGGACAAGAACTGAAAAACCTAAACAGATATTACAGAAACACTATCATGAGCATGGCTACAGAAAAGAGAGGGTAAGAAAAACATGAGAGGAGTTCAGAAAATACAGCAAAGACATACCCTTAATCCAGTCAAACCTACAAACTCTTGGCCTTCCATCTGAAAATTAAGGCCAAGATAAGAAAAACTATAACAGATGTCATAATAAAACATAAAAGTAATATTTGTCTCCAATTGGTGACAGTTGGTGAATATACTCTCTAGAATGTGGATTTTAGATTTTGGTCAGTCAGAAAAAGAATTTGCTTTAACTCTGTCCATTCTGTTTCTGTCAGTAAAGAGCACAACTAGAAAAGCTAGAAGCTGGCTCCTATTTCATGTTAGCAACCTGAGACTACCTGTAGTCCACTATACTCAAGTTGTTTCTTGCCAATATGCCTCTGCTCAAGAACTTCCCTGTGCCTCATAGAAATTCCCCTCTTTCCTAACTACATATAATTATCCTCTCAACTGAGCTCAGCTATCACCTCCTCTAGGAAGCCTTCCTTAGCCTCCATCACCTCGCTGGCTATCGGTGTCTCTCCTTTCCACTTCACACCCCATCTCTGTCATGGTTCTTACCAATTGTACCACAGTAATCCGTTTAGCAGTCCATGTCCACATGAGAATGTGAGCTCTGTGAAAGGGAGGGGAGTGTGCTATGTCCCTTGCTCACCTTTTTTCTCCCAAGCTTAGCACAATGCCCAGTAAATGCAAACATTCTACAGAAGGAGCTTAGACCTTACCACTCAGATGTTTCCCATAATTACTTGCTCCATGAAGAGAACAGGCATGGCAGCAACAATTATGTAAATTGAAAATGCAAGAGGAAAGAGAATTGAAAGCCCCACCTCAAGGAAGAGCACAGACATCAGAATGAAAGATTAACCATAGTTGAGTAGCCATAGTTGAAAGACCTCTGTACATTCTTCCACAAAATGTTAAAATTTTGACTATTTCATCTTCTTGTCTATATCATTTTTTGTTCTATTTTATCTTA